CTGCTCATGCCAATGAAAATCATACACTACTTGAGGTAAAACATCATGTTTATCCCCTTGAAACTTAAAACAAATACCTCCTAGTGTATAGGCAGTAACTCTCTTCCGATCATAATCAATAACAACCTAGTGTGCCGTCAACTAGTCCATCTGAAGGATGACATCAAATTCTGACATGTCCATTACCATAAGGTCAACGGTGAGTAGAATCTCTGACATCTCTAACTCACAATCCTGACATATCTGATCAATCAGTACCCTAGTTCCTAGGAGAGAACTCACATGTAATGAATCTTTCAAGGTATCAACCTTTAAGCTCAAATCTCTCACACCTGATGTAGAAATAAATGAATGCAATGCACTAGAGTCAAATAATACCCTTGTTCATAAGCGAGAGAGTAAAAATGTACCCTAAATAACTGAATGATCCACTAGCTCAGTTTGAGGTGTGATGGCATATACTCGCCCTTGGGCCACCAAAGTTTCAACCTGTATGCCTTGCACTTGGCCTCGACCCATGCCCTGGCCCATCTGGCCTGATTGAAGAGTCCTCGCACTTGAAGTAGTGGGGGGCTTGTGCAGCACTCTGAAACTAGTACTGGCTTCCCTAGCCTATGGTGGGTTAAGGAGGAACGAAATAAGTCTATGCATGCCCCACCAATGACTATGACTGAGATGCCCCTAACTCTAGGATCCCTGCCTCTAAGGACAATCCCACTTTATGTGACCGGGATGGTGGCATATGTAACAAGTCATCTGGTCTACCTAGTAGGTAGTCCTGAAGCTTCTGCTGCCTTAGGACGATTGACCTTGGCCTTGGCCTTTATAGCCTCATCCCTATCCTTGAAACCCTTATGGGGCAGAAATTTTTTACTTCTTCCCCAAACTAGAAGAAGAGGATCGACCCTCCTTCTTCTTTTCCTTAGCACCCGACTCTCGGATGCTCCTTGTGTCGTCTACCTCTCTCTCAATGGTTATAACTATCTCGACCATCAAGTCCAAATCTTGTAGGCGATGACCCACAATCTTCTCCCGAATGGATAATTTCAAATCATCCTCAAACCTCCTCACTTTGGCCATATTCGTGGCCACGTAATCATCGGAAAAACGAACTAACTCAGTGAACTTAGCAATGTATTTCATCACCGTCATAGTCCCTAGTTTCAAATCTAAGAATTTTTGGGCTTTAACTTGTCGAAGAGCTCCCTGAACTCTCCCATGTCATCGCCTCTAAGTTCTTTGAGGCCTTTGTCCAATCCCACCACAGATGAGTTTCTCCTTCTAGTTAGAATACAGCTAACCATATCTTAGTGGCATCGGAGGTGATATCTATAGCCTCTAGAATTTTCTCCACTTGCTGAAACCAATGGTCGGCCACCATCTAATTTGTTCCTCCCATAAAAGTCAGTGGTTTGTGTGCCTTGAACTTTTGGAGGTTACTTGAGCCCCCTTGACCCACATTAGCATTAGCCTATGCAAAGGTAGCCACCATCGTGCCAATAGCCTCCATGAAGGCTTTTTGGTCAAAGGCCGGTGGTGGTTGGATGTTGTTCTACCTGCCACCTCGGTCGCGCCCTCTTCCTCTATTTGCCATCTACACACATGTCAAATAGCAATAGAGCACTAATTTAGTATCCCAAGATAAAGATCAAGTTCAAACTTTAAGACTTCTCTACTTGTCTCACTAGTAGAGCATATGTCACCCACTAGTAGACACCTACACCCTAAACCATCTTGTTCATTCTTTTTTTGACCCCCAATATTACGTTCTCTAACCCTAGTGTCTCTTTTCCATATACATTCAATCATGTATATTGTCCATACAACGTATAACACATAACATTTAGCATTTAAAACACATAACATGTAATGCATAATGGATACAATGGTCTTAGAGGTATGGGGGTACCAAAATCTTATTGGCATTTTGTTATTTTGACTTTTATGTTTTTGTGCAATTGTACACCGAGTCGCGTTCTTCAACATCGGGCTCCCTTACAGGTCTTATTCCCTGAGTGGACACTTTTTTCGATCCCCCCCTCGTGTTTTTGGCTGCACATATTTTGTTCAAGATAAGTCTCTCACTCGTCATAAGCTTGATGATAAGGCAATTCGTTGTGTCTTTGTGGGCTATTATCATCAGTCTAACGGGTATTAGTGTTATGATCCTTTTAGGTGTCATATGTATCATAGTCTCTATGTTACCTTTCTTGAACATATTACTTATTTTTCTTCTAGTCCTGTGTCTGCCCCTCCTATTGATGATACTCCATTTGATTTTCCTTTACCACAGAAGCCAAAGCCATTGGTCACTGTAACTACAGAGTCACTAGTCCCTCCTCCTCTAGAGCCACTCATCCTTATCACCTTAGAGTCACCAGTCTCACCTCCTTTGTAGGTCTATGTTCGTTACTTTCGCTCTCATCCCCTACTAATGTCCCCTCTACCTCAGGCGATGCAGATAATATATCTTAGTTCATTGAGCATATTGGTACACATGCAGTTACTACTTATGAGATTGCAGGTAGTGAGCTAGTTAATTTACCTGACGAGACATTGTCAGTTGAGGATGATGATTTAGGGTGTTGTTATCCGTAGCGTGTCGCCACCCAGTTGTTCATTATAGTTGGACCGGCAGGACTTTATATTCAATCTCTGGTTATGTTTCTTATGGTGATTTGTCTCCTACATTTTAAGCTTATAGTATGAACTTATCAGATACGCCGGTTCCACGTTTTGTTTCAGAGGCTATGTAGAAGCCCTAGTGGGTTCTTGCCATGCAGATAGAGATGGATGCTCTTCAGCATAATCCTACATGGGATCTTATCCCTTTACCTTCAAGGGTGAAGCTTGTTGACTGTTGCTAGGTTTACACCCTGAAGTTTCTTGCGGATGATATTATTGATCGTCACAAGGCTAGGCTTGTGGTGAAGGGTTTTACTTAGGTACCAAGTCATGATTTTGGTGCTACATTTGCCCCCGTGGAAAAATTGAGTACCATTCGGTTGATTATTTCTCTGACTGCAGAGTACTTTTGATCTCTTCACTAGTTGGATGTGAAGAATGTGTTTCTTCACGGCGATCTGGACAAGACTATTTATATGAATGCACCACCAAGCTTTCATGGTGATGGGGAGTATGCTGGGAAGGTGCTCAAATGCATAAGTCTCTTTATAGACTAAAATAGTCACCACGAACTTGGTTCTCTCACTTTAGTGGTATATTTGTACGTTTATAGTTCACTAGATGTCATTCTGATTATACATGTTTCATTCGACGGAATACTTCTGGGCAGTGTTATCCTTTTAGTGTATGTAGATGATATTATTATTATTGGGGATGATATTTTTGGGATTGAACAGGTCAAGATAGACCTTGGGAAGGCCTTCAATATGAAGGACTTTGAATTTCTACGATACTTTCTAGGAATTAAGGTTGTCTGTAGCAGCAAGGGTATTGTTCTTTCTCAGAGTAAATATGTTCTGGATCTTCTCTTGGACACTGGAATGTTGGGGTGCAAACCAACATCATGAACCATGATTTCAAACCTGAAGTTTATTGTTGAAGGTGAAGAGTTAAGAGATCCGACTATCTACCAAAGGTTGGTAAGTAGAGTTATTTACCTAGCCAACACTAGGCCAAATATTTCATTCGCTGTCAATCGATTTAGTCAGTCCATGCACATGTTGTGTCAACCTCATCTTGATGCAATTCATCATATTCTTCGGTACCTCAAATCTTGTCTTGGACTTGGATTATTCTATGCATCAGGATCTCAGATTGATTCTTTAACCTATTATTCAGATTCAGATTATGGGGAGCGAGTGGCGGTCGATCTACTATGGGCTTCTATGTTTTTCGAGAGATTCATCTTATCTCTTGGAAGAGCAAGAAGCAAGTAGTTGTCTCCCACTCGTCCGAGAGGCAAAGTATCGAGTACTAGCACTTGGCACGTGTGAAATTATTTAGCTACAATCGATTCTTGGTGAGTTGAAATTTTCAGTGACTTCTCCAACCACATTATATTGTGATAATCGATCTACTATTTAGATCGCTTTTGACTCTATGCTTCACGAAATGATGAAGCATATAGAGATCGATGTTCACTTTATTCAGGAGAAGGTTAGCTATGGTATTGTCACTCTATTGTTTGTGGGGACTAGTGATCAGATTGCGGATGTTTTCACCAAACCTATCATTCTATCTATTCTCTAGGACTCCGTTGTCAAGCTTGATTTAGGTGACATTTTTAAGTCTAGCTTGAGGGGGTGTGTTGAAGTTATAGTCTAACTTATTAGAGTTTCTTTTCCCTTTTTAACCCTTACTGTGACTTTTATAATTTATCTAGACCAGAGGGATGTTCAGGTTTCTTTATACTATTGTTTGAGTATATCTATAGGGCTCTACTCTTAGTTTAGGTATCTCTTTTACTCACAAATATCTCTTGTGCTACAATTGGGGACCAGCACTATCTTGGAGTAATAATTATCCCGATGATTGCTCTTTCACTTGCGTTGACTCTTCCTGAACTTTTGAACTGTACACTGAACTGAGGTTATGAATTAAGTTTGACTTGTCTTTTGATGATTTGGGCTTAACCCATGAATGGGCCCAAACCTAATCTAGATTTGAACTTGTCATTATAATGATAAAATCTAAAAGATTTATCATCATCTACACTGGATAAGTGTAGATGATGATAAGTTTGTGATATTTTATCTTTATTGTGTAATTCTCACCCAATAAATAGATGTAATCAAATACCAAATCAATAATACATTGTACATTGTGTTGAACCATGTCAACTCTTTGTGTCTCAATTTTCCTTTATTTTTTTCATCTTCAATCTCTCTAATATTCAGAAAATTCTTCACTCTGTACACGAGGAAACACTGGAAATAAATATCTAGATTGAGCATTTTCCACTAATAATTAAAGGTAGTAAACAAATCAACAAGCATTCCAAGCTAACAACCGTTGAACGGCCAAAAAATATAACGCTACTGAGGTGGAAATTGTATGCTGGAAAAACTCTCAGAAGCATCTCCCCAAAAGAAATCTTCTTTAAGCTTCAGGGATGGTAGGGTGTTCAAGTACTCGTGTACACCATTTTCAACGACTGGCTTTGAAGTTGTATGATTATGAACCTGGATAGCTTCACTGGTTGCCACTGTTCCGGCATTGCCGGGACTTCTAATGTCGGAGTTTTGGCCTGTGAGTTCCTGAACAATTGCTCGGAACTCAGAAGCGTTATTAGCTTTGACCATCACCGGATTTGATATGTACTTCACCGTAATCCCTTCTTCACTTCCTCTGCCGGGGTTTGTACCCTTTAAGTGGTGCTGATAATTGTTGTTTCTACGATTGCCCATTTTCTCTTATATTTGGGGCGTCCAAAACATGCATATGTTGTAGGCTGTCTAACGGTCTGAAAAATTACTTCTGGTGAAGCTGATCGGATTGATTTCTGAGTCTGTCGGGGAAAAAAACCTGAAATATGTGAATGGGGGGCTGCTCATTGACTTTTTTTTCCCAAGTTTGTATAGGAGTGGTTTTAGATGAATTGAGTGGCTTTCCAAGAAATAACCAGGATGAAGACACAAATTTGGAAAATTAAGAGACAGCTAAAGAAAATATTGTTGCATTACCATGCTAGAATGTCTGCCATGTTTTCTTGCTTGTTACCAACATGCAAGAAATCGGATGCATGAAAATTTTCTTTTCACACCCCCTCAAAATATATATGTACGCGTATTTTAATTCCTTACAAGTTACAATTCAATTGTCTTAAACACGTGACTTTGGTAGGCGACATGAACTTATCTGATTTTTTGAGAAGCTCTTACATAAGCACTTTTCACAAATCCTCATGTTTCACTACTGTTATGGGCATCAATCCAATTTGAGAAGATTTTGAGATGGTTTCTATCAAAAGCCGATAAAAAAGAGTGGCTTGATTTTTTTTTTTCTTTTTCCAAACAATTTACAAGTTACGGGCTGTGACAGCCGTGAATTTGAGTTCTATATATGAGCCTAGCCCGTAATGCAATCGAACCCCTCCGATAGCATCCTATGGGTTGTTTTTGTTTCTAAAACGATGGTTTGAAAAATAACATTGTACTTTAGTATATTTCAAAAGAACTACTATAAAGCATAACAAAACATATTCTCAACACGCTAGGAATTACCAATACATCCTGACAAGGATAAAGTACATGAAAATTTATGCATGTGAAGCTTGAGAAGTACCCATGAAGTTTATATAGCAGAAGTACAATGTCATATATATTGTGCTTTTGATAATCTCATGGATAGATTTTTTTATGTGTCTTACAAACAAAAACAAGTATAAAAAGCCCCACGGTATATATTGCCAGGTGTCCACTTATAAAGTTGGAGTTTCTGAGTTTATAAGATTTTGACTGGGTTCACCCCTAACTATTTGTCTTTGTAATTAAATTAGTGGAATGGAGAGCTGCATATATCAAAGAGGATTAGTCAAATTTTCTAAGAGATCCTTATGCCTACTTGGCCAAACCCACAACAAAAGTAAAAGGTAGAGACAGGTTCGAGTTTATATAGCAAGTATTAGTGATATATAGTTTGGTACATAGTCATCAGTCAGGTTATTCTCACCAAAATATATACTAAATTTTCTGCACCAAACTAACATGATCTGTTAAATTTTCTGCACACAACATTTTTCACATAGTCGGTGGGTGGAGCCATCATTGTGTTAGACGGTCTCAGGCCCGTCCTATTTTTTTAAATAGAAGCATTATTCAAAATATAGTTTATTATACCATCTATCATTTTGGAAGTAGAATATTAACGGCTTCTTTTGGATTATGTGTTCTTAATTTAAATGTAAAAATACTTGTTACTGGCTTGCGATTGGTCTTTATTTTCTTGTCGAATCTACATTTCTCTTTTTTATGTAACTATTGATTAATGAGTTTCTGATTGTCAATTCTTATTCTTATGTATGTGGTGTTTCAATTGGGTTTTAATGTTATTGTTGTGCTCACTTCTTAAATTTTTATTTAACAGCTTTGGTAATTGTCCTTGATTTGCATGTTATTGGTTTTTTTGAGGTTTTATTTAATAGGTTTGTTAATTGGCCTTAATTTATATATTAACGACATTTTTGTATCCAGTCTTCTTAATTTAATTGTAAAATTAAATTCAATTACTTTGCGACGGACTTCTATTTTCTATGATTCTTTCTTTCTTTCTTTTTTTGCAATTGTTGATTGATGTGCTTGTGATTATTGAGTGTTGTATTTTGCATTTTTCAGTTCGAATTTAATGTTATTGTTGTACTTGGGTCTTAAATTATTATTTAAAGGATTTGTTATCTTAATTAATGATAATATGCACAAAATAGTTTGTAATGAATGGTGATCAATAGATGATTGATAATTTGATTATACATAAAAAGAAATATTTTTAACAGAATTGATTATAATTGTCAAAATATAAAACTTGTGGGATCAATTATAAAACTGACTGCAATTAGCTTTTTTGTTGCTTTTTGCCCGTATGCACCATGTATTATGTATAATAATTTTTTGGTCCTTTATCATCCTGTTTTTATCAATTGAGAAAAAATAAAATAAACCTGACTGATAAAAAAATTCTGACTGAATCACTTGGTAGCTTCATGTATGGTATGCTATGGCCTTTGAACTCAGACCCATTTCAAAAATATCCTCCCTAAAAGCCTTTTGATTCTTTTCCATCTTCTTTCAAAAACACCAAAAGATTGACTATTCCCACATATGACTTTTATAGCTGCCAATGTTTACTGCAAAGTGCTATTTATAACATCTAAGTGCACAAAGAAAGATTTTTCTCGTAATGTAGAAAATTCAACTGAAAATGATGTGGTTCTACTCAATTATTTTCACACACTACAGTATGTCAAAGGTAACGACTTTCTAGAAAAGGACCTCATATGAAGGGATCTAACTACAGTAACAAACCAGCCCAAAAAGAATTACGTACGAATTAAAAAGTTATTTTTTGATTTCATATCTCCTAGTTTTCACTAAACAAAAGCATATATAGACATGTATAATATCTTATTATTAAAATCAATGATCACAAATAAACTAATATTAGATCTACAGTCAACAATAAATTTTGGTACAGTACTGAGGTGGTGTGGCAGTGCTCTCCCATATCAACTGCTCCTCATCAAAGACTATGGAAACGAACGCATATGTTGGCTATTCAGATTCTGGCCTAATTGAACATATCGAAAGTTCCTGCCAATAACTTTGGTTAGACTGTGTTGAACTAAAGAAAATTAAATGCACCATGTGATTTTTTTCCTGTCAGTCATCATGTTATAAAACTGTTGAATTACTGTCTGCCTGTAATGTCAAATAATAGACCGGTACTTGAAAATTCTGGGTTTGCTCTCTCTCTCTCTCTCTCTAAACGAGGAATACATGACGACATTTTGGGCATTTGTTGAACACGTTCAATGCCATTCCATTTAGAAGTTTTTGGGAGATTTAAATATATCTTCTGATTGAATTAGGAAACTTCTTTATTTTATTTTCTAGTTAAATTAGGAGTTCATTGTTCATATAGAGTTCTAGCTAGTTTCCTAGTTTAGTTAGGGTTTTGCTATGATAAATAGCCAAGCATGTAATCTATTCAAGGAGCTTTTGATGATTTCGAAATAACATTCAGAGAGATTATTTTCTCGATTGTTTTGGTAGTCTACAGAATCAGCAAAGCCATTGAAAAACCTTACCTTAAGATCTAAGGTTTTCAAGTTATTCTAGATTCGTCCAGTCAAGATCCTTGCATCTCTCAGTGTGTGTGTGTGTGTGTGCAGGAGATTTTGAAAGCATTCCTGATAAAAGGTTGACTTCATCTACGAAGTCTTCCACCTTACCAAATAAAGAAACTTCTGATATTTAGTTTGTCATAGATTTTCAATTGGAAATAAAGTTGTGATGCATAATTCTAGACTAAACCCAAAAAAAAAAAAAAAAACCAAAATATGATGGTCCCAGATGTAATACTCGTATTTTTTATTTTTGTATTTCTATATATATTAGTTGTTGTACACATGTTACGCATGTGAACTATTTTGAATAATATTTTATGTTTTTATTTGATTCTTTTGTTGGGATATGGGTCAACAAATATCAAAATCTTAATTTGTCACGTTATCGTTATTAGGGTGTGCTTTCTGCAAAGTATGATGATTTGACACATGGACATGAAATAGTACAAATCCTAACAAACTCGCCAACAGTGGTATACTCCCCCTCACCATTTTCTCCATGTCAAAACTCTAACCTCTCCTTAACACTACCAGAGCAAGCACACCCTAATAACGATTTTAAGCTCAGCATCTTAGTACATACCACTAATTTAAACCACCTACCCAATATCCAAAGACCAAAACCCCAAGCCAATCTTTCAAATCCAAACATACATATATAATCTCAAGCTCATTTGCTCAAAATTCCAGTCAACAAGCACATGCCCAAAACCAAACAACCCACAGAGTTACCATTTCAGCAACCCAAATCAGTGTGAACCAATCTACAACTCACCTCCACACTTACCCACGCAATGACCCAACACCTCCAAAACTACTTCTATCTAATCTCTTCTGGAACATACAAGATGATTGTATGGCCATGGTTTTCCAACGACTATCACTCAAACGTTGCATACATGAAGATAACTCAAACAGACCCTCCAAGCTATACAGGAGAGAAGATGGTTACATCGCCATACGCTCCAACGCAACCATTAGTTGCACCCCCAACCACACAAAAACAATCAGAAACTCATTCCTATCCATACACTATTTTAGAACCAGATGAACCACCAAACCAAAACGGATCACCTCCTATTCCTAATCCAAACCCTATTGCCTTCCAAAAATTTCTCTACAAGAAAGTCGCATCAAGAATGCAACATGAGGAGGCAGGCCTACCCATGCCCCTACCTTCACCACGATAGTTTATGTTTGGAATTGTCGAGGGCTTGCCCATGCCTCGGCAATTCATCACTTAAGGGCACAAATAAAAGAATATCACACTAATGTCATTTTCCTTTCAGAAACTAAAATCTTCACTTAAAAAACCACAAATATCCTGCAACGCCTAGGTTACTACCACCATGAAATTCAACCTGCAGTGGGCCTATCTGGAGGCATAGGTCTTTGTTGGAAAAAAGGAATTGATGTTGAAATCCTCCGGTCAAACTCGTCTATTATATCTGCCATGATTTTTTCAAAACCTGCAAAGTCCAAATGGTTACTTAATTGTGTTTATGCTCCTACAAGCAGGCTAATGCAGAGCAAACTATGGGATGCAATGAATCAGATCACAAAGGA